ACTTATTACCGGCACCAACCGATAAAACGCCTGGAGAGTATTTCACATTGTGCCATGGTTGTGCTGTCAAGTAGGTTCGGCATCGATTGTCCCCAGCGGCGATTGTGGAAGCTGTAATAGTTTTGTGGATGCAAGATGAGCCTTGTAGGAAGCNACAGACGGTTTGCGAAAATCGATCCGCACTATCCCTGAATCGTTGCAAAAATGAATTTTGCTGTCAAAATTCATTCGTCTTCGTCAGTTTGATCAACACTGATTGAGGATGAGAAAACCGGCTATTCCGAATGAAATAGTAGTATTGTTTAATATTACAATGTCTTGAAAGCTAGATACATTTGTGATCATCTGCGCATTATAACCGTATTCGTTCCACATCAGTGACGTTTTGAATACTCCACGTCGCACACAAAAGAGATGACAGCCCTGAGATCTATTACTCAATAAAAATGCAAAAAATGCTGATTCCCGGGTAATGAATGTCGTATGCGCCAAATATACATATCACAATATCTTTAGGCGCCAGTGAAAGAGAAAACTGATGAGAATTCACGTTGATTAACGAAGTGATTGACTTCTTATATGATTCACTTAAACTAACGTTTTGAGGCCAGCTCTACAATTGTAAGGATAATGCGAAAAACCACAAACAGGACGTGTTTGGAACTCATATGACACAACTTCTCGAGCAACAAGACACAAAAGGGAGGGATGGTCGTGGTCGGTCGGTTAAAGTAATCCCCATCAGCCAGTTTCGGGCCCTGCTATCGGATCCGAGAACCCCATCAGCACCAATCAACTTTGGTGGCAGCTCAAGACTATGCCTAAGCCTATTGGAGCCATATGTGGTTCCGGAGCTTAGGTTTCAAAAAACGAAAAGCCGGTCCGCGCTACAATGAGGCCTACCCTGACTGTTTTTCATTACATAGGAATACGCGATAATAGAAGTTCGGATCTCCGGTAACACCAAAACGATAACAGCATGAACATTAATTCGAAAACCTCAGTATTTTTATTATTATTTGGAACGGAAAAAGACAAATGAAAACATTGGTATTCCATACCTGGTGATTAATGGAATCTGCTTTGAGAGATCTCGCGGAGCGGCCCTTTTGAATACCTTTTATGTTGCGGTTTTCTTGCGCAACTTAATCCCCTAAAGCATGCCCACGATAGACTTAACATGATTCAGTCATTCTATTTTAGCAGAACATTAGCTCGCTATGTGCATCGGAAGTGATTTGTATAAGGTATCGTCCTTCTGGAGGCCGCACTCAACTATCATAAGATCAAAAGTGGTTCACGGATTCAAAACGGAGAATAGATTAACACAAAATGATCACTATTAGAACCTCAGAATAACATCTCAAGCACAGAAGCTGATGAGTATCAGGCAAGTTGATACCGTGAACGTCAAAGGATTCAACATTAAACATTCCGCAGTTAACACTGTTCGATTCGAAAGTCCTGGATACGAAGAGCTTTGTCAACAGGCTTGACCACCACAAAACCTTAGGATCAATGCTTCCTTGACTGATTCATTAGACATAATAGTTGACCACATAATTCTACAAAGGACCGTTTATTCATTTGATCTGAAGAAAATACTGAAATCAACCGAGCTGAGCTCTTCTGGAAACTATTTGGATTGCTTGTGAAAACTGGAGGATACTCTTTGCGAACGTTCTAGACACTTTTGATCTATCCGATGCCAGCACTATGTGTCTAGGCTGTGCGCTCGACAGGCGTTCTGTTAATGAGGCAAAGGAAAAGATGAAGAATAAAGCAATAACGAATCCCGTTGGAGGCAATTTTTCAGCAAAAATCAATTTTGCCTCTTTTCGAATAAGTTTTATGCATTGAGTAAAGTCTGTTCCATCCGACTGATGGTAGTTGGATGAGTGTTTGATACGCCAATGCTATGAGTAGAGCCTTTCTGAGACAAAGATTTCACGTTGAGGTTTGGAACAGAAAATTGTGCAGCTGTTTCTTCCTTTTCGGGAACTCAATAGCAGGGTGTGCAATTTTTGTGAAAATTTGTGAACTCAAACTATGTACATCCATTCGAGAATCGAAGCACTTAGTTCTGAGCTATGAGGTTGGCACCCAAACATCCCGGCCTATGGCTCTGTTGGTGGATTTCACAGGCGTCCGAATCTTTGTTTTGAGTTGACTACTTACCACATGGGTACTCGTTAATTTTGCTGTGGATTTTTAAATCCACAACCAACACCCATACGGTAAGATACCCAGGTAAAGTCTGTTTCGTGCGAATTGAAATGGTCCAAAACAAGATCACACATAAGTAACGCTTTTAAATGCTTTATTAAATCATTCCCAAGAAACATTAGGTTTGAATATTCAAAAATCACGATTATATCCAACAACTGTTGTTATTTCTCACATTTGAAGAGCACAATATGAAGGAAGGAGAGTTGCATGCCACTTTCGTATTGGCTTTTGGCTNGCTATCGGTTCTGTAGCTGAATTGGCTTACATTTAAAACAAGAGATACCCATTGCCGTCAGAGAGTGAAATATAAGTGATAAAGGAGGAAAAATACAGTTTTCTCATTAGTGGTCTACTGATAAAATGGTTAGATTAATTCTGGTCCGCGTTTCAGGTTCCCGAGATCGGTTCTGATTTCGATCCCTAACATTGCTGCTGAGATCCAACCGGATCAAAACATCGAGGGTTCTCGGATGTTCATTCTACGTTTCAGTTATCCGGTAGATGAAAGATGTTCATGCGGCGTTACGAGAATTCTGGAATAATCTGAAATCGGTCTTCTTGGAGTTTTGATAATGCGCGACAGAGGGAAACAGGTATAACGCGTCATATTGTCTCAACTACTTCAACTACTTTAATGATTTTCATAGAACTTAAATCCAGAATGAACGTGACCCGTTTTACGCACAAAAAGAGAAAACACTGTAATCTGGAACGATTATCATCTGAGAAATTCGTGGAGTGTTGGATGCACAGTACATCCATATTTGATTCGTCACAGTGTGAAGTAGTTTAGGATCTCGGTAGAATGATATTAGTGCCAATCACATGTCAACTAGCTTTCCTGTATAATTCATTGGTTTCCCTTTGCCATTAGAGAATATAAAGCCCACCATTCAAACAATGGATCCAAAGTGATTTCACATTATCTTTCGGCCCTTTCTCATTTCACACTGTGATGCCACAATTTGCGACAACAAACTGACATGACGACCGTCATGGAGGAAATGCGCTTCCCGTCGCTGCAGGTAATTTGCATAACCCTGTTCACAACCTAGTCGTGGCTGAAATCGGTTCAACCATCACGTAAATTAATTCGTTCAGAACAAACGACTTTTGACCATCTCATGAAATATGGGTTTATGGAAGTCTATGCCACTGTTTACGAGAACGTTGACTGCACCTCCGGGCCGAATGAACTCACAAATGAGAGCCTGTATGCAAGACCAGTGAAGAATGTATCACTCACTCGATCCAAAGCGTCCTCGAAACTTGTTACACTGACACTGGGGATGTTGGATTGGGAGTTTCGAGCAACGCATTCCGTCGCTTCTGTGGTGAGGGATACGAACCCGTTTGAATTGAGCAACTCTTTCGATTGCGAATCCAGTTCAGTAGCAAGTCGACCGTTTGTCTCGGCGTTGACTTCTGCGGATGAACTGATCTCCGACGACAACGGAGCAGTTGCACCAGTCTTTAGGTCGTCAGAATTGGTGCTAACTGAATGCGTATCAGTTGAGCCATTCGTCTGACGAATGTAACTGTCGGAGTGAACGTTTATCAATAATCGATCCATGACCTTTAAAAATACGGAATTGAAATATCAAATCAGAAATGCAGGCCGCTGTCAAAAGGTCTATTAGAAAGAGTTACTTATCTCGACTACTGTGAAATATATAGGGAAAAATATGTTCACGATCCTTTTGAAATTTGAGTATTGTTGATTATCGAAGAATGCATATAAGAAAACAAATATATCAAAGAACAAGGAGAGCGAACAGTAATTGAGCTTTCTTCTTGAAATTGGCCTGCGAAACTCCTAAAAATGAAAACTAAGATAAGTCTGATTAGGATTCGAAAAATGTATTTCATGAAGGCGTCTGTTTCTTCTCATTTTCACACGATATTGTAACTAAATATATATATATATATCTGTTACAGGAAAACATGGATCAGGAAAGCAAGCAAAAATCACCGTGGTTTGTGTAAAGCCCAACCAGACTGGTTCACTTGGGAATTACAAAACAGAGTCATGCGGTGCGGGAACATGTGCCGCCGGGTGATGCCCCGAACGCATGTTTGCCTTGCGACAATAACAAAAGGAGAATGAGAAATAACAGTGTTACAGAAATCTGCACATAGCAGAAGGCACTGAACAATCTTATCAGAAAACTGGTGTCTGCATCTGCGCACACACGTTATTCCTCATCGAACCATTATAGGTTATATCAATGTATACAATCGATGCAGAACGGTACCGTCGAAAAAAACAGTTTATCTGCCCTAAACTTCTGGTCTTCGTCTTCCAAGTTATCTCTCACTGCACCTAAACGTGGCTACGTCACCTTTTTGCTCGCCTAAATAAAACAGTTACATTCTTTTGAAAGAAATTGTTCTGCACTCTATGTCGACAACCAGCCTGGTTCCCTAGTAGATTCTCTACAATACCTCGAAGTCACTATCTGCCAAGATCTCACCTGGACCTCACATTTTACTTCCACTTTTGTAAAGATTTGACGGTTGCGTTTCTTTATTACTCGCTTGCGTTCTTTAAAAGTTCCACTGTATTTACTAACCCGATTTGTATATTCTTGTGTTTTTACGCATCTTCTCTACTGCCCCCCCCCCAGTTTTATTTGCCGGTCTTAGAGCTAAAGAGTACACAATTCTTCACCGATCTATTAAAATTAAGGCTCGCACAAACGGTATTTTTTATTTGCACTGGCTTAACTTTATCGCCGATAAACATTTTACCTCTTACGATAACTTCTATAGCAATATTCTATCAGACACCACTCACCCATTACACACAGAACAATGCATATCTAATGATGTAACAAGATGTCGTTATAAACTGGTGTAAGCTCGTACCACTGTCTATCGTTTGTCCGTCATCCCCTATCTTTCGAGATTTCTGGCTCAAAAGGCATCCGTTAGAGAAGACTTTTTGAAATTGCTACGCAATTGATATTCGTTTTTAAACGTTTTACCCCACACATTCCTTTGAATTGACGATGCTGTTTTTTTCTCACTCTTTTTGTGACTGAATGCGACGTTAAATGTTCCGGGGGTGTAAAAAGCTGAATCTATTCATCAGGAGGAATAAAGCGATTTTTGACTTGACTTAACTACAGATACTTTGTTGATTAGTACCCAGAAAATTAAACGAAGTACAATAGGAAATCTCTTTTCTCGACTTCCATGAACATAGCGGTGCGTTGCATTTCCTCGTATAGAGATGAAAAGAAGGTTGAACTTAAGAGCCACGAAGCACATGATGCTTATCATTCTGTTACGATGTTCGACGTAATACATCACACACTGACATCTCTAAATGCACGTTTTTAAATGACAGGTCATGTACGTCGGTACAGCGTTCAGATTCACTTGAAAAAAGGAGAAATCCAGTTCATGCGCTTTTATCGGCTGAACATAAATAAGCACAACAGTGGAGGATCCGATGCGAAAATCGAATTTCATTACAATGAGTACTGTCCGCCAAAACAGAGGCGAAAAATAGTTCTGCCTAGATTCATTATTCGTACATCAGTAGCTGTGGATAGTTGTGACCACAAATGAATCAGCTCAAAGAGCTGAAGCTGAACCAAAAACCAGCTATCTGTTCTGATTACTTCAATATCCCGCTTAACCTTTTTCACATGGATTTATCCATCTCAGGAAAACGGTACGCGGTTATCCGAATAAATCTGCGAAAATTACTATATACAAGCCTTCTTCTGTATTTCCTGTGAGATTAACAACTTCCACATATCTCAGATGAGAAGGATCTCGAAGTCATTGTTCAAGACGACCTAAAATGTTCTTGCTACTGCTTCATGGCGTCGTCCACCGCTGTAAAACATGTTGGTTTACTAAAGAGAGTATCTGGCAAATTTTGAACCTGCGCTATTCCCATGGCTGTTCTCAGCCTACATCCGACCCCACACAGAGTACGCCATTCAAGCACGTACGCCCCGGCTACAACATGATCGTATGATTCTGGAACGTCCACAAAAGACGACCACCACAATGGTCAAGGGATCGCATTTTAAGACTTATGTGGAAGGACGGGAATAAGTGAGTCTATACTCCAAACAGTGTCGCCGAATTCGAGGGGAGTTGATTTTGGTGTATCAAATAATGCGAACCCATGTCGTTCACTGTTCGCCTTGTCTTCCAACATTCACCTGAAGGGGGCACTGAATTAAATTATTGCTCTAAAATTCTCGATTAGAATACCGGCGTCACTTATGTGCCCTCAGAGTGTTGCGTACTTTAGAATTCATTTAGAATTCTCTACCACGCCACGTTGGCGTTGACTTCACGAGTAAGCTCAACTACAAAGGCGGAATGTTTACCATGAACTAGTTAAACCTGCTGCAATTGGGACACATTTACTGCAGGGATAACCGAAACGCAAAAGGTCGCGGATAGATTGAATTTCTTTGACCCAACCGAAGCACAATCACCCTATTTATGTCTCTGGTAACCTTGAAATTCGATGAAGAACTGCGATATGTCTAAAGTTTATAAACATTCTGAACGCAAATCAGAGTTGCATTTCGGTGTTCTATTTTTCAAAACAAATCATTTGTTAGCAAGCCTATTCAAAATTTTTTGTTTAACACTAATGTCCTCTCTGACCCCGTATGTGTGATTCATCAATTCAGGCTATGCAATAAAGACCCGGGGACGGAAGAATTATCGAAATAAATAAGACAATAAAACATTCCATGAAACATTTATCACTTGCAGTCTGACTTAGATTTGTCGGCATTTTGCAGATTACCATGGGTTTAAAAGATAATTTTTTGTACTAAATGAAAGAGCAAAATAAACGGTTCATAGCATACCAGATGCCGGCCCGGATGTGCATCACAATCAAATATCGGATAAGACAAATTTGGGGCTTGATTTCAAGTAACTAATGATCTGCACTAAACGCTAGTCAACAAAACACAAACTGAAAGCAACGCAGAAAAATCCGTCACACCGAAAATGTTAAACAAACTCAAACTATTACACAAAATATGAGAGGAGCATTTACTTGGAAAAAGGAAAATTGATTTTTCAGTTGAACGGATGTGATTGAAGACACCTTGTGGAGGGAAAAATCCTTTGATCGCAAACTTTGAAGTAGATACACAAATTTGCTGTAAGTAACCGATATACTGTTTGTTTTTGAAAAACAAACTAAAATGTGTTGTTCAAATTCGAAAAATTTTCAGGGCAGCACCAAACCTATTCGAACGCCCAGAAGAAATGACTGAAGTTGATATTATCGGTAAAGTGAATTGGATCACAATGTCACATTCACACTGTTCATTATGTTGGGTAACCGCAGTTCGGCTATATTTCTAGGCTGATCAGCCACCAAGGCCCCCAATACCTGGGCATTTCTAACAACGTGATTGCGTCCATATGTACGTATTAGTTCTCAAAATGGCCGCATCGTACCATGTCGTTTCCAGTTATTCACGATGTGAATTTAATGATGACTTTATGATAAACTAATATGATAAATTTCACTTACTTAACTGGTTTGTTTTTTTCTAAGTTGGGTTGAAGACATTGGGTGAACGCTTTCTGAATTCTGCTTAGTTGGCTGTCTAAACCCTAAAATACATTATCCCTGGCACAGTTTATTCCCGAGGCATGACAATATTTATAAAACACATTATTGGTCAAATCTTTTTTTATCAATACGTCATAGTGTATATCTGAAAGAATACAAATTTAGCGCTCCGTGTATAAAAAACGGCTAAGTATAAGTGAAATGAAAGCAAAATTAAATTAATTCGAGTGTGATCTATAATGATACCGGATTCACTGTTCATCTTTAAGGTTCCAAGTCGTCCACAGTACAGGACAGACCATGCAAACTGAGTGATTTCCAACGGCCACAGGCTGACATTTAAAGAAAAGATCGATTTTCATCTACAGAACGCTCATCAAACACTTGTGCGTTTCTTGTTGTTCGCCCCAATACGACGTTCTTCTGGCAGATTTCCAAAACTGTACCTGGCAGTTGATCGGCGCAGTCGAATACCTGTCTGTAACTAGACACGTACAAACTGGATCCATTGAAACATACATGCATACATACATACACGTACAAGCAACATGAAATGCCCAAATTCGACTCTTAACCAAGACAGACATCGTTCAAGTAACTGACAGTTACATTGACGGGTGAAACAAACGGTGGACGAGTGTGTGTGTGGGTGTGTATGTGTGTGAGTGTGTGTGTATGGAGAAGGTAGTAAAACAGAAGAAAATGTGAAAAATGTTTGCACGTGTTATTTCGGTCAGACTGGAAACATCAAAAAGAGCGTTCCCAATGAGTGGAATAATACGATACCAAACATTACAGATAATAACTACAATAGCCCAGTGTAGTTACGCGCCTGAGGTCAGTGGATTTGAGTTGAACTCTCACTATTTACAGTACACTGACTGGCAGAGAGCAAGGAAAAGTATTTCATGAACCGAAAGTTATCGTTCGATTATTGGTTCGAAAAGTACCTTCCATGATTGACAATTTTATCGATAGAAATGTTTTCGAGTTTTGCCATC